CTGCATCATTTAACACGGTCGAATGTACCAAACCATGAGGAATTATTTCGGTTGGTTTGTTTTGCCCTATTGACTGAGACGATACCAGTGTTACGCCATGCCCAATTCTAAATTTTCAAAATTGGTGAAGCTTCCAAAACTTCTGTAGTGAAAAACAATGAAAACCGTGACTCGGTTCGGGAATTTATTCCATTTAACAGAAAAAATTGGTTTTCAAAGATGGATTTAAGGTACTGTGTTTGCTGGCGTAAATGACCATCAAGCTAGGGTTTTTGATGATGTTGTAGGAGGTGTATTCATTTTCTTTAGAAATTACAATGTATCAAAGCAGAACCTTACCCTAAAAACCATTTCATATTTTTAAGGAGATAACGGCATGCTGTTCTTCCCATAGCATGGCCAGTATTATTCAGTGTGGTTACTTTTGAATGCAGTGATTAGCACCATATCAAAAGTTACTAGAACTTAACTGAATGCATTGTCAGAACTCATTCAAGAGATCAGAAACACGGGCATTTGTTACTGCAGTCGGCCAGTCACAACATTTAGAAACAGTTCTATCTGATTTAATTCCAATAGCACTCGTATTGCATGTCAGCAATATGCTACTGCTATCAAATTATTGTGCCGAGGGAACTTTCTACTAGTAATGCACTACTTATGCGGAAGCTTCTTTCAGGGTTTTGAACCGCCCAGCACATCTTGTACATAAGTTATTGAGGTCTGCCTAAATATTAAGTACTTTGTTTCCAGAGCTCTGCGCCCTTTTTTGTCTTTAATTCACTATCTCATTGTGCTAGATAGACGTGCACACGCACATATACCATTGTTCTGAAGTTAATTCGAGATGCAGTGGCTAAAGAACTTGCGAAACGTGGACTCATTACTGGGTTATTGAAAATGTTTCAGCGGAATTTTTAGAATCCGTATTTGGTTGCGTATCATTTGTTTGAGATGTTAACGACTGGTTCCTTAAGCAGTATTAAAGCTTACTCCAAACAGTTACATTGCCGAATGCAACCATCCCACCAAAAAATCATAAAAATCGACAGTTCCGATCTGCAACTATTAAGGTATGATGAAACTTTGTTGCTTAGGAACCAAAACTCACAGGGATGTTTCCGATGCAGTGACTGTCGTTTTAAGAGGTTGCTGAACTGAGATGCCCGAAGTTTGTTGGATAGGCTGGAATAATAGCAAACGGATTAAAATCTAATACTATCAGAAAGTTTACTACAAATTTTCGAGCCAGTATGAAAACTTTAGGTGATATGTTAAAAACACGAGCAGTCGCACAAATTCCCAGTGCTAGAATTTCAGTGTTACTAAAATGCGGCTTGCACGCAAACGCTTGCCCTACTCCGATTGCTGTACTTTTATCGATCAAAAATATTTAAATTTTATAGCTCGATAGTGAGTAGTTCAAGATACAAAATATTTACACAAAGTACCGAATCAAGCCGATCTCCTGTCACGTCGAAGTTTGTTACACTTTCCGGTGGCAAATCGATGAAGATATCCGATGGTAGAACAGTTAGATGATTTGCTGATTTGTCTCCTTCGCCTAAAACGGCGAAATGTCACTGGGTTAAAGTGATAAACCGAGGAGGCGATGCACTAGACTTACCGATGCGATTATGCGTTTCCCGTTATTCCTTTCCGTACAGAATTCACTGTATTACCGAAGTGCAACTGCAGTGTTGCAGTTTGTAAATTTGATATGCCTGTACGCAGCGTCCATGCACAGGCAAATGCTCGCTTACGCAACACCATCCTATCCACACATGAAAATACCGCTTCCTAATCACTCCTGTTACCGAGTTAATTGGGTACCCATAGTTTCCCGAAATAAACGTCCAGTTGCGCGTGTGTGAGACTTTGGCATTCTTTAAAGCTGAACTTGAAATAGTTGGGTGGCACATAAACACAGAATATTCTTGTCAAATTTCAACTGCTTAGCTAGATTGGCTGGCAAAATCGCTTTTTGTCACAAGTGTCTTTGATATTTTCGAATACACCACAAAAGTTTACGCCAAAATTTATTTTGAGTGTACAACAGGCATTTTCGCGCTTGCATGTGTACAACAGGCATTTTCGTGAAATCGGGGTACACAAGCCAATCTGGTCCTTGGGTTGGCACTTCGTCAGCAGCGTCTGTATTCCAACTTTGGCGTACCCGTGTTTGTGATGAAAGCACGTGTAACTGCTGAATTTGAAATATTTTGCTCGCACTTGGGCAGAAAATATCCGCGTGAAGTTTCAGCTTTCCAATCTGTCTGGTTCTTGAAATCTTTTCCAGCCAAAAAATCAACACATTTTTTGGGCGCTCACACGTGAATGTTGATTTTAAGTTGTTTAGAATGCACACAGTCCAGGAACGGCCTCACGAATTTCCGGCATTCTAACTTCTACGTTTGTTGAGCTTGCAGCAGGGTAAGTGAAAATTATAATCACTGGCGACGCGCACCGGGCTCGCCCGTGCGATCATGCGTTTTTACAATATTTCTCGCCGTAATGAGATCGCTCGGAAACCCAGTAGCTAGAAATGTGTGATATACTGGTCCTCGAAGTCT